ACAATTGGTAATGCATAAATTTCCCTCACTAGCCATTATTATCAAGTACTAAAAACAATATACATCACTTCATAATAGAAACTTTGAAAATGTATACACATACAACACATATACATGAATGCAATTAAGAGAATACTTATTCTAATAATTAGAATATTTATTCTAATAATAGTACTTTGTGTAAACTTTATGGAATATTTATATATAGAAATATTCATGACTTTTTGAGGAGTATTTCCAAATATACTCTGAGAGCTCATTCTAGAATTCAAGTTCTAATAAATAAAATAATGCTTCTCATATTATTAGTGGTTTGCAAAAAAGCATACAAGTATTTGTTAAATATATTACTGAGATTTCTGACCCTTCAAATGTACTCTTCCTACTTACTATAAAAATATTTGGATCTTCAAATCAAACTAAAGCTGACATTGGAGAGCTAGTATTTCATAATATAATTTTAAAAATATGGTATTTTGGAGATCTTTCAGCATGTCTCAATGTCCAACTGGACTTTGGATAATTATAAAAATATTTAATTAATTATTTAAAATACACACTATAATAGTTGATTTTCTAAATTCCATGTCTAGAGGTTATTCCAGTAAGGTACAAGCATCACCCAAACTGTATTTCTTTTTCAAATAATCACACTGAAATAACTACGTTTGCATTAACTAAATGGCAAAAAAAAATTTTGGAGCAGTTTCAATGGATATTATGAAATATTTCTTCAAGTAGAATTTGTTAAATTCCTTCAGATTTGAGAAGACTTGTAAACTGTAGATAAGGATGTAAATTGGTACAGCCATAATGGAAAAACTAGAGAGGTTCCTCAAAAACTTAAAACGAGAACTACCACATGACCAGCAATTCCTCTACTGGATATATGTCCAAAAGAAATGACATTAGCACCTTGTAAATAGATTTACATGCTTTATGCTTATTGTAGCATCATTTATCATTATCAGAATTTGGAACAACCTAAATGTTCACTGATGGATGAATGGATAAATTATGGCATGTTTTTATATATGTATACATATATATGTAAAATATAATATATATGTAATATATATTTTACATATTTATTTATAATTTATATTATATATTATTTACTATTCATCCACATGTATATAATTACATACATATGTATTATTAATCCTTTTTTTAGAGAGAGAGAGAGAGAGAGAGAGAGGAGAGAGAGAGAGAATTTTTTAATATTTATTTTTTAGTTCTCGGCGGACACAACATCTTTGTTTGTATGTGGTGCTGAGGATTGAACCTGGGCCACCTGCATGCCAGGCGAGCTCGCTACCTCTTGAGCCACATCCCCAGCCCATTAATCCTTATTTAAAAAGATACTGTCATTTGCTATGACACGGATGAAACTAGAGAGTATTGTGCTAAGTAAAATAATCCAAACACAGAAAGACAAATACCAAATGATCTCACTTATATGTGGAATTTTTAGCAAACTGAATACATAGAAATGGATGGTAGAATGGTTACCCAGGCAAGATTGCACACGGGGAGGAAATAAGGTGATGCAACCTTAAAGTGTACAAGCTTTCAGTTATTTAGGGTGAATAAGTTTACAGCTCTAAGGTACAGCATGGTGACCATAGTTAACAATATTGTGTTATGCGCTGAACATTTCAGTGCTCAGAGAGTAAATTTCAGGTGTTCTTATACCTCATACAAACAAAATGTTACTATGTAAGGTGATTTATATGTTAATTTGATAATAGTAATCATTTCTATATATATCTATATCATATCCTACAACTTAAATGTACACACACAGTGAAAAAGTGAGTCAATCCCAAAAAACTAAATGCCAATTTTTTTCTCTGATATAAGGAGGCTGATTCATAGTAGAGTAGGGAGACTTATGGAAGGTATGGTATATTTTAACATCTTCTTAGTTCTCCACAGCAATATAGCCAGTTGGAGGAATCCACTCAGAGTAATGGCCATCATTAATAGGAAGCTCATACAGAAAGCAGTAGCATATTTAATGATGTTTTAAACTTAATGTAAATTAAAATTGCTCCGAATGGTGGGTTGCTTAAAAGCATGGGAGGAACAGAAGAACTCTAGATAGGGCAAGGGAGTAGGGGGGGAAGGAAGGGAGCATGGGTTAGAAATGATAATGGAATGTGATGGACATCATTATCCAAAGTACATGTATGAAGACACGAATTGGTGTGAATATACTTTTATACAACCAGAGATATGAAAAATTTGTGCTCTATATGTGTAATATTAATTGTAATGCATTCCACTGTCATATATAAATAAAACATTTTTTTTAAAAAAGAATGAAGCTAAAAACTACAACCAAAAATAATAGATTAGGCTGGCATACAAGTACCATTTCAGTGGCAATGTTATTTTAATAAAAATAAAGAAAGACATAACTAGAGAGTCTCAGATCAGTTCTTCTTACCTATACAAATAAATGGGACAGAGAACTGAATTAACATAGTCAATAATTCCTATACTCTTAGAATAGAAATGTTTTAAATTCAGTCTGCCTCCATAAGCCTTCAGAATTTAAAGCAGTAAGTAAACCACTATCCTCTTTAAATGGATATAATTGGTTAAATATTTACCAGAAAGAATTAACAGAAAGAAAGAGGAATAAGTTGAATTCTTTCAGATTACTAGTCACTTTATTAACACTCAAAACATTTGAGAAATTGATGACATATGGAACTAAGTAGCCACAAACGAGTTGCATAATAGACTATAGAACCTGACAATGGACAAGCTCATAAAATGTAGTGAAAATGTTTATCACACATGAGTTACAAATGTTTGTTCACCTACTTGTTTGAATATTTCATTATGTGCAACATCTTTTATATCAAAACATTATTCCATATTATAGTTGTTCATAGTATGCAGATCTGGTGAAAGTTATGAACACTTTCACAAGAAAATATATTTTGTTCCATAGTACAAGATATTGTGTTTATTTTCAGGGGATTTATGAAGTGTCTGCTAAGACTTTAGCCTTAGGACAATCTATATTATTTGTATCCCATTATATCAGATATAAACCTATCTGTTAAATTTATGAAATGTAACTGGCTTACCATAATGATATTTTTAAAAAGTGTACTTGGACCCAATTCAAATTCTACTAAACATAGCAACCAAAGACTCATGGAAGGTATGGTATATTTTAACATCTTCTTAGTTCTCCAAAGCAATATAGTCAGTTGGAGGAATCCACTCAGAGTATTGGGCCATCATTAATAGAAAGCTCATACAGAAAGCAGTAGCATATTTAATGATGTTTTAAACTTAATGTAAATTAAAATTGCTCCAAATGGTGGGTTACTTAAAAGAAAACTCATGTTGACAAGCAATGTGTATTTTTAAATAAGATTTCAGGCGGAAAAACCCAACATATGACTTCATTAAGTAATATAAAGGTAGCATAAGTAAAAGACTGTGAAAAAATAGAAAGTGATATAAATGACTGTACTATTTTCTTAGCTAAACTGTAAATACAATATATATTTACTATATATTCAGATTATAGTATATGTATTATATATGTATATATTCTGTTTTCTGTAATATATACCATATACTATATATCATAAACCAGATAATGAAAATATAATTAGAAATAACTACACTTAAAGGCGGATCACCATTTCTATTTCCAGCAATTAGTTTCACATATTTAAAGATGAAAATTTAAATACATATGGAAATTATTTTTCCCAAGGCCATTTTTTGTTGTTTATTTTTTAATATGTATTTTTTAAACATAAATTGTATGGGAAACTAGTTCAAAAAAGGCTATTTCAATTTTAGAAAGTGTAGGAATGTATTAAGATTGGAGAAATAATAAAAGAAGTAGTATACTAATTATGTATTTTGAGCTTTTATGCAGAAAATATGTAGAGACAGGTGTTTTCATGGCATATCTACTATTTGAATTGTTTTTCCCAAATGAGATAGCTTGAATTTCATCTGAATTATGAAGATGGATCTGGGACCAAGTGATTCACTGATTTAATTGTTCATTCAATATTTATGGATATGCCATGTACTATGCACTACAACAAATGAATAAAAATTACCCAGCTTGGGCCTCAAGGAGATTATAATCTATGAGAAGAATGATACAGATGAAATAAATATGAAGTATACTAAATTCTGAGAAGACAGCAGTGCAGAATGCAGAACATCATGGCAGCACATGCTTTGTCTATTACATACTATGGACACCTTTGGCTTCCCTTTTGAAAGAAAACTGTAATCAGGAGATTGAAACAAACAAAACCCCAAACCCCTCTCTAAAATAATGTTGTTTTTAAAAATTTTATGTTTTGGGTGCTGGAGATTTAATCCAGAGATGCTTTACAACTGAGCTACATCCCCAAAGGCACTCCCCACCCCACCCCCTTTTTTAAAATTTTGAGACAGATTTTTCAATAAATTGCTTAGGGCCTTGCTAAATTGCTGAGGCTGGTTTGAAACTTGTGATCCTCCTGTCTCAGCTTCCTTAATTGCTGGGATTACAGGCATGGGCCACCATGTCCAGTCCTAATATAACGTTTTATATTGCCCACTACTCATCAAAATTTAAACAAATCATTAAAATTCTAACCAAAATATAAAAATTGATTTCTCATTCTAAGGCTTAACATCATTGATCCATTATATGCACATTTCCACACATGCAGCAGAATTAATGTGAAAGACACTTTCTCCCTTGAAACCAATAATTGTTTTTAAAAGATCTGATGGAAGTACTCATTTTTATTCAATAGAACAGTAAAAGTATATAGTGCTAGGTTTTCCCTTTCAAGTCATAAATGAACTAACTTGCTCCCCTTCATTTTTATTTCTTTCTGTCCCCCTTACCACCCCCCCAAAAAAAAAAACCTCACATAGACTGAAGCATTTTTTTTTTCTTTCTTCCTCCTCTCCTCTCCCCAGCTATCTTCCCCCTTTCTTCCTTCCTAAAGCCATCAATCTCTGGAAATCCGACAGCTCCATTCTGAAGTGTTGCAATAAGTGAAAGTGATTTTGTCCCGCAGTCGCTCGTCTCTCCTCCCCTCCAGAAAAGGATGGAACAGCAAAGTGGAGGCCTTGCGTGTGTCGGTGGGCGCTGGCAGAGTAAGCACATTTGGCATTTTTAAAGCAATAGCTTGACAAATAAACAGGGGGTCCACTTCTTAAGTTTGGCGAGAGTCCGCCCAGGTAGTTGAAACCGCTTTTATCAGGAGGAATCTCTTCTTCCTTTTGTCACCACTGACATTCCTCCTACCCCTAGCTGCTCAACGGGAGGGTCTCAAAGATTATATCTGCCCAGACCAGATCCCCTTTCTTCACTCACCGCCGCCTCCTACCCCTACGCCCAGCAAACCCTGTCATCCCGCCCTTTCTCCACCTCCAGCACTGACAATGGGTACAAACAAGTCCTCGCACAACCTAATAGAGAGGAGCTTCATTGGTTAGATACAAATCCCGGCGGAAGAGAGGAGGACCAGGAGAGAGAAGAGGAAGCCCAGCTCCGCTGTGGGCGGAGATACATTGGGGTGAGGGCTTGCAGACCTGGAGAGGGGCGAAGGACCTAGGTCCCCGTCCCCAGAGTTACAGGTTGGAACAAACTTGCCTGGCTTTGCGTCGCTGACGCGTCCAAGTTAACCTCTGTACCTTGATGTGCCGGCACCAGAGGGCGAGGAGCGGTATACATAGCTCTACATACACATGGAACGCTGAGCTAGGAAAGGAGGGGGCGAGGAAAGGCAGGTTCCGCCTCCCCTGGCCCGCGTGCACACACACGCCCACCGCGGCTCGGGCTGGCGGAGCGCGGGCGAGTGTGAGCGCGGGCGAGTGTGAGCGCGAGTGTGCGCACGCCGCAGGAGCCACTCTGCCCTCTCCTCGCACCCTGCTCAGGGCATCTTGAGAGCCTGGAAACGTGAACAGGCTTAAAGTATGGCATGTTGCAAAGATGGTTTCTGCCAAGAAGGTACCCGCGATCGCGCTGTGCTCCGGGTTCAGTTTCGCCCTCCTGCACTTCCTGTGCCAGGCTGTTTGGTGAGTTCTCTGGGGTCCTTGGGGGGCGCGGGGGAAAGGAGAGAAGTGGGTAGCTCTTGGCCCTCTCTGTCCGCCCACCCCTCTCTGAGCGAAATGGACCTGCTTTACTGTAATACCGTGGGCTGAAGCCAAGCTTTTCTGTGACCGCGTAGATGCAGAGAGGACCAGGGGCTCCTGGTGCAAAAAGAATGTGGGTACAGGGGTTCGGGCTGCCGGGGGCAAGGGGTGCGCTTTTCTGACCATTTTGGTCTTCCTGCATTCCAACCCCCAACCCTGTCTCTAGCTTGGGGCAAGCGACTATTTCCCTAGAAGGCAAACCTGTTTCCACCTGTTCTCAGTTGCATTCTTAAAATAATCCTTTCCACCCCCGTTTTTTTTTGGCTCTTGCAGTTTAAACGAATCCCCAGGACAGAACCAAAAGGAGGAGAAATTGTGCCCGGAAAATTTTACCCGCATCCTGGACAGTTTGCTCGATGGTTATGACAACAGGCTGCGTCCTGGATTTGGGGGTATGAACTATTTTAGATGCACAAGTGTGTTCTGTCTGTCCCTTCCTGATCGGTCTGTCTGTCTGTGGAAAAATCATTAAGTATGCCCTGTGTGCAAAAATGAAAAAATTCTCTTTCTGTCCCTCTTCCCCCTACCCCCCTCCGCCAGTTTTCCCTCTCTCTTCCTCTCCTCTTTTGGTGAGACCTATGACAAGAAGACCGCCCCCACCAGTACTTTCCCATCTCCCTGCCCCCTCAGAAGCTTTGCCTCTCCTCCACACTAATTACCTACCGACCTGACAGCAGGGTAGGGATGGTTGGGGAGAGAGGAGAGTCAACAACAGATTCATTTGAGAGCTTAGCTGAGACTGCCCTGCTCCCTGTGAACTGAGTTTTCCTCAAACTGGTTACTTGGCCCAGAGCAGGTTCCACTGGAGGCAGCTGATCTGAAGTCCCTTGTCCTCCCACGTGTCCCTTTCTCTGCCAAAAGCTCGGCCTGTGTTCTACCTAGGGCATGAATCTGGGGCACGAAGCTGACTGCTTTGCTAGGGAACTCAATCCATTCCTTTTCTCTTCATTTTACTTTCTTTGGGAAGGTGGCATTTGCTTCCCTCCTAAGATGATGGAGTCAGTAGTGTTCAGCTTTATTTCTTCTTTCAACCATATACATATATAGCCTAACAGATAATCAGCCATTAACAGTACTGTTGCTCTCCTATTCATAGTTTCTTTGCATATATAATAAGAACCTATGTGACAAGCTCTGTGCTGGAGCTTCAAACAACTTCTCAGTCCAGTTCCATGAAGATAAGTGACTTGCTAGGATCCCACTCACCAGGTCATCCCACCTCTTCTAATAGCAAAGTCTCTGTTCTTTCTACTGTTCTAATTACCCTTCAGCAAATGAATTGAATAAGACATACACACTAGTTTGAAGGAGCTTACATTCTTTTAGCAGTAATAGTAGTACCAAAAATAACATCCACTAATTTTGTATTCATTATATAAAAGTTTCATGTAGACCATGCATTTTTACAGGTATTTCTTTATGCCTCACAACAGCCCCAAGAACAAACCCTAACTTTATCCTTTTTTTACAGATGAAGAAACTGAGGCTTGAAAAATTAAGTAACTGCTTCAAGCTCACAGTTAGTAAATGTCAGGGACAGAATATGAACCATGATTGATTGTGTATTTAAAAAATAAACCATGTAGATTGGGATGGTATTATGTATAATGAGATGTGATCAATATCACATAATATTAGAAACATGGAGGAATCTAATGCTTCCTATTGAGGGAATATAAGAGAGAGATGGTGGGAGACTAGAGAAGGCAAAAGAGTGGGGAGCGGACAGCATTAGATATGAGGGAGGATGAGTGTGGTCCCAGGTTAGAAAGAGTTGTTGGAGATAATGTAGTTGAATGGAGTAGAGTTGATGATTCTTTGAAATCTGTCTAGGGTCATTCTTCTCATTTAACAAATGAGGCAACGAGGACAAGAAAGGATTTAGACAAGGACACATAGCATATTAATGATAGGCTTGGATCAGGTCTTCTGAATTCCAAATGATTTTTGTGTGTGTGTGTGTGTGTGTGTGTGTGTGTGTGTGTGTGTCTTTTATTGAGAAAGTCATGGGAAGCCACTGAAGGTATTAATTCAGTATTTGTGTGTAGACAGTGATAAAGATGGATGAAAAGGATGGGAGTTTTTTTTTTTCTGGTTCTTTTCCCATTGCTACTCCAGGGATAGGTTGCCCACACTTCATTTGCCTTCATGCAAATCTGAAAAGAGGCTTCATTAGAGAAGTGAATCATTTGTCAAGGCATGATCTTTCATAAGTGACTGGGAAATTATCATTTTAGATCAAAAATAGTTTTGTGGAGAATGTTTCAGATGATGTGGTGCCATTTAAAACTATATTATATCAATAAGAGAGGATTTATCTGCCCAGAAAGGGTAAGTTTTAAACATGACATTTCAAGTAAAAAAAATAAATTAATTAACAAAAGCATCAACTAGTATATAGTTTAAATATGCATCAGAGAACTGATGTACCTGAACATAAATGAAAGTGAAAAGCCATAACTGGAACTATATGGTTTTATTATTATAGGTTGAAAGTTAAAATAATATCTGTCTAATTGGTTATAAAGCAAGTTGCAATTCAAAAGGGAGAAGGTATCCATTGTATATGGATTTTTTTTTCTTTTTGACCATGTACTCTCTCCTGTAACACTATATTGATAATGAGTGAAAACAATCTGTGTAAGCCAATCCTGGGTTTTGGTTAACTACAATACTGCTAAATTTCTCAAGGGCATTATTATTCATCTTACTTCTCATTGCCAAGTGATCTGCATTATTCACCTGGGCATACTTTCAAAGCATTGTGGGAAGGGGCTGAATTCTCCCCACTTTAATGGTTAGCAGTTAATTAATGATTAAGAATTTACTACAAAGTACAATGTTAGTTTTTTTTTCTTGTACTCTGCTCATAAATATTTGTGGTAGATGTGATTCATTTTTTTTAGAAATGGGTCATTTTCTAAATGTGTACTATTCCAAATGTGACAGATGAATAGTAATTATCACCTGCAGAAAATGTGTTATCTGTTTACATGAAATTGTAAATGTACACCAACTGAAAATAATAAGAAAACTTGTTAGCACAGACTCTGGATGCTAGAAGTTTGATCCCTTCTATGACATTTTATACTTTGTGGAAAGTTTGACATTTTATAAATAAGATGAAAACAATTCAGATTTTGACTGGTACACTATAAATATGGATCGACTTCCTGGTTCCTTTAATCCTACTTCTGCTCTTTGTGGAACATTTACTTTTTATCTGTTTATACAACTTTGCTGTGTTCCATTTAAAATAAAGCTAAAAGCAAAGATTTGAATTGAAATTGGATGGTTTGTGATTGCTCAGTAGGCCAGGCAGGGGTTGAAATAGATTTGGAAACTAAATTACATATTTTTAACTCAGCAGCACAGCTTGCAGTGGGGAAATAAAAGGAGCTGAAATGGTTCTCTTCTTTTCATCGCTCCAGGATCTCTTCTCCCTTGTCTCCACATTCTCCCTTTGGGGAAGAAAAGGGGAAAAGGTGAGAAGAGAAGGAAGGAGGCATGTTGAGAGAAGCTGGAAGGGGACTTCAGAAGGGACATAGCTCTTTCAACCTCTGATGAATCAGTTGCTATCATGCTGAAGTAGCTTGGACCTGCTTAGAAGTGACGCACAAGAGAACCCTTCCACAGAGAAGCTAGAGGATCATTCCTCTTTGTTCTGGTCCACTCTCAAAACTGTTATCTGCCTTCTTAAAAATGCATAGCTAGGTTACTAACCACTGGCAGATAATTTGGGAATCTTGCCCTAACTCAATTATGCAAGGTTGCTCATAACATAGTAGGACTTGACTGCACATTAGTGGTGTCCTTTACAGTTTTGAAAATATTTTTATATACAGTATTTACTAAGATTATCACATAAACAAAGAGAAGTAGGGAAAGCCTTATTAATCTCTTAGAGAAGAAGGTGGAACAAGATTCAGTGAATTTCCCAAGAACTCTACAGTGAGTAACAGATGAAGTCACAAAATCCAATCCAACTTTAAGCCCTTAGGCAGCTGGTCTATTGTTAGGTCCACCTCTGAGGCTTTTTGCATAATCCTATATATCATTAATTGAATTGTCCCCAAAATGCCTTCTTGTTACTCAGTTACATAAATTCTTGAGATAAACAAAACTATATTTCCCCCAAAGGAGTGAAATGAAACTCAGTTCTTCCTGGTACTGGGAATTGAGCCCAGGGACACTATACCACTGAGCTATATCCCTAGTCCTTTTTTTTTTTTAGACAGAGACTTGCTAAGTTGCCAAGACAGACCTTAAATTTGAACTCCTCTTGTCTCAACCTCTGGAATAGCTAGGATTTCAAGAGTTTACTACTGAAATAAGAACTTTGATTCTAAACATTTTATAACATTTAAAATGGAAAAAATGAATGCAGAAACTTTTATTCATTGAGGTTAATTGAAATATTGTCTCACAAAAAACAAGTTTTCCAAGAAATGCTTTCAAATGATTTATATCTCAAAGTGTAGTTCCTGTGTACTAGCTTTATTAATTGAATGTCAACAGAGAACACATTTTTTAAAATACATGGATGTAAAATACATTTCAACTCCACACAGTGATAGAAATGTAAAGCTTCATTCTCTTTTGATTTGTTACATTCATTTATTCATTCATTTATCTATTCATCTATTTATGTGCATTGAGAAATTACTCTGTCAGAATAATGCAAGGCTGTGAAGATATGGTTCTGATCCAGCATTGGCCCTCATAGTCTTTATGGAGAGAAATAAAAATAGCAAAGAAGCAAATAACAAAATAATTAAATGAAAATGCTATGATAAAAGCTAATAGCATGTAAGAGAGAGAAAAAGAATTTGGATGGGGGAATCTATTTTAGATAGAAATGGTAGTCAAGGAGGTTTTTCAAATTAAGAAAGACCTACACATGGCAGGCATGGAAAGTGTAGGAGAAAAGTTATTTTCAGGCAGAAAAAATAAAAAATAAAAAGCCAGTGCAAAGTCCAAAGGTATATAGTATAGAATTGTCATTTAGACAGTGAAAGGTGTTTGTTCTGCCTGTAGTCAGAAAGCGAGAGCAAGTCTTATAGAATGAGTTTGGGATGGTGAACAGAGTCTAGGTCATGCAAGACCTTTGGGGATCCTGTATAGAAACAGATTATTTCCTCAGTGAACCTGAAAATTGTTAGAATTCTTTAAGAGGAGAGATTTTCATGCTATTACTTAGATAGTAATATGATCCATCTAGTTGCTACATGAAGAAAAAGAGGCAGGGCAATATGGAAACAAGAGAACCAATGAAGAAGTTTTTTTGTTGTTGTTGTTTTTGGCAGGTTAGAGTTCTCTCCATTAAGTTGATGGTTACATGGAAAAACAATGTAGATGTAGTAAAAATGGGTGTAAGTGGATAAGTGGAATC